AAAACTGCCGCTGTAATGTACCAAAACGTTCTCCTTGATGTTATCAAGGTTTCAAAAGAACGTAAACTGCTATTCGACTCAAATCAGGGCGACCCGGTCAAAGATGCGAGGTTGATTCCCTGCCAACTGGAAATCTTCCTGCGACCATTCGAAGAATTTCTTACCTGGTGTTTGCTAATTGGACGGGACTGAAACATGGCGACGGTTTCTAACATTTCGAATGACTGACAGATAGACCTATATAACCTGAAAGAAAATCTTTCAACAATTGAAGTAAATTTTAAAGATTGCGCAACATACAACTAAATACAATTCAAATTCGTACGAACAAACATTCAACAAAAATTCAAGTTTAGAAATATCCTTGATTATCAAAAAGTTTAAACCTAAGAATTTTACGAAAGTGATCATGTTTGAAAGAAATATAATGTTTTCTGGTTGAAAAGATTAAAACATACGCTTTCGGCTATCAGTATATATAGCCTTAAACGGATAGAAAATGTATTTTTGATCATTTTTGATAAATATAAAATGTTAATTTGTCACCAGCGTGGGACAAAGACTTGTATTTAACTGCATCTCGGTTCACTGGAACATAGTTCAAAGACTAAATTCTCGATTATTGGTCTACATGCAAGAACAGCCAGCTATTTTGCTGCGATAAATATGCCAAGGAGATTGCCAAAGTCTTGCTTTATTATACTGCAACAGAAGGGAAGAAAACGTTGACAGTGGAGAAAGCAAAGAAATATCAAATAAAAAAGTGAAATTTCACCAGAATAACTCTTTGCAGCCAGTCAAAAATCAAAATCGACTCTCATCTTTCCAATTCTGTAGTTTTTCCAGAAAATACTTGTTTTATATTTCTGTATAGAATCTTCTTATCCAAATTATTTGTACATTTGGTGACATAAGGCAACATCGTATTTCAATTAGGTAAGAAAACTTTGTATAATCTTCTAGCAGGACACAACCCCTTTAAGCATAAAACAGAGTTGATTACTCTTTTTCTTCTCATCATCACCTGACCGCTTGAAAATGGATTAATGTAAGAAGAAGACAAGCTATAAGCCTATAATGTCCGAATTTCTAGAATATGAGAGAGCAATCAAGGATTTACACTACTCTTGATATTCGAAAATTCTTGAAAATTGCACTAATCTTAAGGCGAGTACAATTTTTCATTCATTAGATTTACATGCGGCAGTGCAAATCAAAAGTTAAAGATACATTTGCCATTCTCAGCCAATCACAATGAAGTAATTTTCACAGTCATATCATAAAGCATATCATAGATGTCAAAAGCTATTTTTGAACACGCAACAAAAAGTTTGATTGAAAATTGAGAAAATCTCTTTTGCAAATAACATTCAGCTTAAAAAAGTTGAAATTTAGCAATACACTCTTCTTTTTTTAATAAGAATATTATTTTTCCGGCCCAGGCTGTTATTTTTCTGCCGAAAATTCTACTGAATATCGTTAAATTACAGCGTATAAAATTCCCGTTTTATATGTCCCATCATGACTTTGATGGCGCGGAAGAAAATTCGGAGCCAGACTGCAGGCAATAAAACCTGATATGACACACATACCGTCTTGAAGAAATGTTATTAGTATCGAACATACAGCTAGTGCTGTCCTTGTTGTCTTTTGGATGTTGTGCCATTTAGAGAAAGGAAGAATGAGAAGAATTTTACACTGTTGAGTTCAAAATATATTTGACTGAATTTATGAAAACCGTGTTAAGACTTTGCACTAAAACAGCCATATGTAATTTGATTTCACAACTCAAAAAGGCCTTAAAATCACTCCAAGCAATGAAAAAAAAAAACAGATAGAAAGGACAGCACGAAAAGGAGGGTAAGAGAGTGGAGGAAGAAAACGACTGACATTCTTTTTAATTTTAACTCTGTTTTCATGAATCCAGGCAAATATCTCAACAGAACAGAACAGAAAGGCCGAAACATGAGCGCGTCGAATCACTGTCGATCTTTCTAAAACATCTGGAGTTAAACTAGGGTATCAGTTCCTGATCATTTCAGACCTTCTGTGCCAATAATTATCTCAACGGAACGGGACTAGATGACCTGGAAAGGCCGAAAAATGAGCGTGTTGAATTACCGTCGATATTTCTAAACGATCTGGAGTCAAACTGGGGCATTCTCTGATAATTTCAGATCATTTTGCACCAAAACAACCATACTGTATGTACTTTGATTTTACAATTCCAAAAGACCTTAGAATCACTTAGAATAACAGAAATGTCAAGCGATTTCAAGCATTATTTTGGATTTACAGCTGAGGAAATTTTCGAGTTTGGACATACTATATATTATCTCGATGTTTTGACATTTAGTCCACAATGAAAATAATCAGTTGTTCAGAAATGCCAAGCGACTCTAAATAACGTTTTGGTTTTGTAGTGGACGAACTACAAAAGTCTTGACTCACGGGCAAGGCTGTTCAAAACACTAGCTACCCGGCGGTCAAAAATTCGTGGATAATCAATTTCCACAAAAATCATTGTTATTATTAAAAACCTCCCGAGAGTATTTCAGTATTTTGATCTTAGGTCATGAACACCAAGCGATTTTATTCAATGATCTCAGTTTGCAAGTTGTCCGACGAACTTTGTGTGACTCACGGGCAAGGTTTTCCAAAAAAAAACTCTTTATACCCGGCAGTTAAAAATTCTTTCCGTTTTTCCTCCGAAATTTCCATTCGAACCTGCTGAGAATGCTCGATCTGTGCAGAAATACCAATGGATCTCCGAACTGCATTGAATTCACACTTCCCGGCTGCCAGGTAAAAACAAATAAAAGAATCAGGCTGCTTTTTAACACACAGAGTTACGCTCAGATGTTTACTATTCAAGTTGCTTCGTTGAGTATCCTCTTTATCCAATTGCACGTTGTTTGTCTCATCTTCCAAGTTCTGCTTACGACGATTCTTTGATTTTTCAACATCATCATTTGTTTTTTGTGTGTGCTTTACTAGTTTGAACTCGTAAATGGCTCCTTTGTTATCTCGTGAGAACGAGCGTGAACTTTGCTGATTTGCTAATTCGTGGGCCAGCCCGTGCCGAAAACGATCGACATATTGTTCGAGTCTTTCCCAAACGTTCTTCGCAAAACTCATCGTTCACATTGTTGTTCACGAAGAGTGAGGGCTGTCGCATTCTCATCCCCAGTTTCCTCGTACTACGCTAGGAACGTCTGGGACCATGACCCCACATTTGGCGACCAAATACAACGACGACGACGAACGGCTTGCATTTTTTGACTCGGGCCTTCTTACGGAAGCCGGAGTAAATAGAGAGAGGAGAACACGAAAAGGAAGAAAGAGAGCGGAGGAAAATAAGTGACATTCCTTTTATCTTTATATCATTACTTTCTCTGGCGAGAATAAAAAAAAAAAGCACTTGATTTCTTTATCACTGTTTTCATAAACCCAGACATATATAATTATATCGTATTTACAACACAGAAAATTATGTTATCTTCAAAATCGCAGCCTTGGGTTTATTCTTAAAATATTTCTTAAATTTTGTAAATTTCAGCTTTGATATTCTTGTAAAATGCATTCTTACACAAAACGAGTGTAGTACAGAATGAGCAATAGAAAACTTGTTATCAAGAGACAAATATTGATAACTATTCCTTATTAATTGAAGAGAAAGCAGATTAAGAACAAGGTTGAAGTTTTCAGTCCATTCTCAGGCTAATGCTCGAGTTCAAACAAATTGAAATTTAGCGGTATAACAAAATGGCCATTACAGATCATTACACAAGAAAATTAGTTGGCAACATATTAATCTGATATTTTTAGCTTAAAACTAAAAGTGGTAGAACACCTTAAGCCTGACAAGTATATAATTAATCTGACTCATGCAAATATCTCGTTTTGTAAACATCCTTCCGGTATTACTTCAGGGAAAACAGCCAACTTTTCAGTTTCTTTTGTTAAATGATAATGAGCTGATGCAGAATCATTCCTTTTAACAAGTAGAAAATTTTACCTCGGAAAGAATCCCGAAAAATAAATACCGTTCAACAAGTAGCTGTATAGCATAAAGTTTTACAACAATTTTTAGTTTCCTATGGAAAACATTTCTGAATCTTCAATTTGTAGTTCTTGGCCAGACAACCTTTTTATGCACCGCCTCCTGAAAATAACCTATAAAACATTGACAAAGTCTGAAGTTTTACAATTTTTTTATTCACTCAAACACGTTGTATCCACGCCACATGTCTGCCATTGTCCAATGGACATTTCTTTCAGAAAAAGTACAACTTTTTTAGCAATAACTAGAGTTTAATTTGTCCAAAAAAGGTTGTTAATAAAATTAACTGCCAATCATTTCTCGACCGGTTGACAATTAATTTTTCATCGATATTAAAATTTCTCTTTTAAAATATGAGTTAAGATTAGAATTAAATTGAAAATTCAAATTAAATTAAACATTTTTTAGATATTGACAAAAAACAGAGCAATCATATATCGGTGATGATCCACTTTCGTCGATTTAACACGCTTGACAAATCTATATTTTGAGAACATCTTTTTGACGGCTAAAAGTGTCCAAAATTTGTTTTAATTTACAACTGTCGGTGCGGTAACTTTGACAATTGCATTTAATTAAGCCTTGTGAGGTCTTTTGAAACCCTCCTTTGTCGTTGGGTATTGTTGCTCTTTGGTCGAAAAAAACTTGAGAATTCAATAATATTTCAGGTAAGCTGTGGTTTGACGCTTTAATTTCATCAATCAACAGTCTTGCAAATTGCAATTGACGCCCAATCGATCGATGTCCCTGAGGTAACCGTTTTAAATTTCCTACTCTGTCTGTGAAACTTTGCGTCACTTAATTTTATTCCTGCTCCCACGAATCCTAAAGTCTGCTTTCAACTGGTAATTGGAATTTTTCTACAGGAAAAAAACCGTACCTACACAAGGTTCTCTGGGATCATGAGTTCTTTCCAACTAAAATTAAACTTATAATAACCAACCCTAACTGATAAGAATAAGAATTTATGGTATAGTTCTAGTATCGGAAGTCATGATGAAAACTTTGATATTTCCACCAAGAATTCTGCGATATGACCTTGCTAGAAATATACAATGAAAGACAACACAATTGTACAATAACTTGTAATGTAACTACTGGATCTCACTTTTTTATTTCTTTCAGAACACACAAGACCTGCTGAGAATGATTATGGGTGGTAACTTCAACGTCGCAATAATTTTCCTCGTTGCTTTGTTAATTTCGTCTGAGAGTCGCTTTGTCAATAAGGTAACATAATTTTTATTTCCTGTATTTCTTTGTATAGGACTGTTCTTAATCACGAAAACCCATCATATTTCTCGTATTATTGTTTTATAGCCGAGAAAAATAGAATCCCTTCTCTCGTTCGTTTTTGCGTTGTTAAGTTTACGAACTGTCCTGAAATTTCAAAGAATTTTACCGACAATTGGCAAAGAACAACGACTTTCGTTTGCATTTCTTTTGCAAAGTAATGAAGTGACACTTCTGTGGTTTTTTTTCTTTATTAACATATACAGGTGTCAAAAAAGGAAGCCATAGAGCGCAGATCTGGTAAGTAATAAAAACCGTATCAGGAGTGCAGCTGTACTTGTGCACGAATAAAGGAACTCTGTCACAGCATTTTTCGTTATTTTGGACACGTTCAGAACCACCTTTAAATTGAAGGAAACCTGAAAATTGTAGGTTACTGAGATAGGAAAACACCAAAGAGATAATGATAACTCATAAAGGAACAAGGATGGTTGAGGATGGAGAAGATTAACGCGGATTACAAACGACGAACTTGAAAAATTTAGGCTAAACTTGTCAAGATGCGCAAACTGTGATGTAGCTCCTTTAAAGTATTTTCATAGAAGTCTGACCAGTGCTAGGTTCTAGGTTATTATACTGCAAACACGACTAAGGAGCACCATCTCTTCACTTCATACTCTATCGGCAGTACAAAATGTTGCATTCTTCGTGTGTGGGTAAGGTGAAAAATGTTTGTTCTTTGATGGTCTGTTGATTGAAACTGATTGGTTTTGTTAAGCCGTGACGGTTAAGACTGTAAGGCTCAGCATATAAAATCTGCAAACAATGACTGGTTATGTCTAGAACGTTTCGGTCCGTCTATCATTAGTCAAATCATAAGTCGTTTTGTCAGTCACATACCAGCCACATAACAGTTCTTTTCTGAACAACTCGGACCATCCAGACTATCCCACTAGACAAACTACTGATACTCCTGGGTTCAAACCAATGTGATTTAATAGACACAACTGGCCTCATAGCTCAAAATCGACCCGGCTGAGGTAAGCTACGCAAGAAGAGCATCAACTATCACGGATTCTGTAACATGAGTCCAGTTTTTGTTATCATACATGTAGTTATTACAACTCGCAATCATTAACTTGTTTCTAACTAGCCATGTGCATGACGTCGTCATTGATTAAGCTGTTTTCTGATGATCATTACACTGGTAGAACGGTCCAAATCTTGACGCTTGAAGCTATTCCTGACATATCATAAGTAAACACAAATTCAAATATCCAGTTCCCACCAATTCATTTTTGTACAGATTGTTAAACTAAGAAACTGATAAATAAAATAAAATGGTTAACATTAGGCGTATCAAAAATATATATATATATTTTGGTTTCTTTTCTTGTTTTTGTTTTGTTTTGTTTTGTTTTTTTTTTGGTTTACTTGTTTCATTCATTCGCTCGCTACATTGTGGTAAGTCAAAGCTTCTGCCACCACACTTGGCCTGCCGTTTCACAGGCCTTCACCTCGGCAATCATTCTTATATCAAAACAGAAAGAGCAGATCTTTTGCAGCTAAACTCTTGGTTCCATTTTCATTTACAGCCACCTGCAATGCCAATAACAAGACATATAACCTTGGAGAGACAATTGTATATCACAAAGTCACTGATCCTGTGGAAAATGCCATGTGTGACGTATGCCAATGTTCTGCTGGGGGAATTACCGGCTGTACGCCTTATGCCTGTGACTTGGGCGTAATGCCATCGCTCTGCGACAATTGGATAACAAAGGAAGGAAGATGCTGTCCTATCTGCGGTAAGAAAAGAAATTTAAAAAATGACATACCATCAAAGGAACATTTATATTTCGATCTACAGAGAGCAGTTCCGACCCGTGACTAACTAACCAACCAACGATTAAGAGTTTTTTTTCTTCATGGAGAGGGAGAGATGGAAGAAGACACGGGGAAGGGGGAGGGGAGGAAAGGAGGGATGGGGGAAGGGACAGAAGGAGGGAGGGAGGGGCATGATTGGAGTCTAGCCCGTTTCTGGATCGTAGCCTCAGTAAAGGGTAAGGTAAAGTCTGCAT